TGCAATCAATGTTAGCAACCATCGAAGCCAAGATCAAAGATATTTTGAAAGACAATAACGAGAAACAAAAAGTGAAAACCATTCGCCATACAACGCAAACAGGACACCTAATCTCTTTCAACTTTCCCTCTTTTTTTTTCTTTTTAGATGCTCCAGTCTTCTCCACTTCTTGTTGAGAAGAGAAACCTCTTTGTTTATTTTTTCACAGACCCAGAGAAACTCTCTTCTGTCATGGCCGATCTTACTCATCGCGTTAATACGCTAGCAACCGCCGTAGAGCTAACATGAACTTAATAACTAGACACCGTTTATAATGAAAAAACACAACACCATACACGAAGGTTGAAATTGAAAAACAAGATACATAATACAGTGATAATAATAATAGTAATAATAATAATAATAATAATAATAATAATAATAATAATAATAATAATAATAATAATAATAATAATAATAATAATAGTTGTTTTAAATTTACATTCTTGCCAACGATAACAACAAACAAAAACACCAAACTAGAAACTCATTTCTTCTCTTTTTGCTTGTCTTTCTCTACTTCTGCTTTTAATTTATACACTACCCCGTTCAGACGTAGTTCCTGAAGGACTTTAATTAGAATATCGATCGTCGCCTCCGCTCCATCTCTTTCCTGCCATTTTGAAAACATTGAGTGAATGGATTGCTCTGGATCGTCTTTATTTCGAGACCGTATCGATTGTATTTCGATCAGCGTGAAACCCAGTTTGAGTCCAACTCTGTCCCAGATATGTGGGATCATTCTAGTGACCAAGTCAAGGTATTTAGTCGGGATACCTTGGGACTGTAAATCAGAACCTGACGAAAGGGAAAGAGAGAGAGAAACAACATTAAATATGTACGTGCATAAAATAAATTTCTATTCTTCACTCTTAACCACTACCAAGTAATACAATCAGTAGTACCATACAGTGGAAAATTTTCGCGGCCGAAAAATTTGGTGGATCTGTCCAAAAATGAATTTCGATGCTTTAATTTTCGTGATTTTTTTACTTTTCGGCCATCTTGGTCAGTATTAAATCAATTTTCACAGATTTTATTTTTATGAATTTCGAAAAAAGGACGAAATTCACGAAAATTTTCCACTATACAATAATACAAAAATAAGCTCTCAACTGTTATCTTTCTCTTTCATATTCCACTTACTTTTAGGTGGTGGTACGGCAAATACAGTAGTTGGGTTTTCCGGAGGAGGTTCCCTACGAAGGACGGCTAAGAGATCCCTCATTTCCTTCAAGTTCAGATCTTCGTCTAATAATAAATACGAGCGTCTCCCAAATTCCTCTTCACTGGTCACTGTGCTCATTCCACTCTGGAATCCCAATAAATCGATGAAATATGACGGAGTGCTCTTTAAAAATACAGGCAACCAGTCCGCCACCTTTGGCATGTTAAGATAAACCGGTATGACCCGTTTTCTCGGTAGAACGTTAATTAGCGTGTGGGAGTCAGCCACGCCCTTTTCCATCTCCAAAACGGGACTTTTCCCTCGTAGTACATCTCCTATAAAAGGGGACATTAGGAGAAGGATAGTGTCACAGGTTTCTAAATTTTCGAAAGACCACACGTTGAAGTTTTGTATGTGTTCTCTTTGAGATTCGTCGACGTCGTAAATGCATTTGTAGGCGGAGAAACTCCGCCCATCTGTTCCACTCACCGTAGAAAACATTTGAAGTGTTTGTACAAAATCAGAAACTCTTTTCAAGTATTCGTCCTGAGTATGTCTGACGTCAGGGGGTAGCGATGAGACGTGGGGATCGTTTGAGTATAATATGAGTATTCGCTGGGTTTTGGGTGTGGCTTCATCTTGATTAGTGGGTGTGGTAGAATGAATGCCCATGGCAACAGGCTGTTGAGTAGTGGGCATGGCTTGTGGGATTGCTCTTGCACTTTGAGGAGTGTATATAAATTCAAAATGCACAGGAGATGTTCGGCCTGCCAGTGGGTGACCTACATTTTTTGCTAAAAAATAAAAAAGG